CCCCAAAACCCCAAAACCCCAAAACCCCATGCCTATGTAATATTTGAGTCATTAAAGTTATTGCTAATTTTAAATAATTGCGAATAATTAAAAATGGGTAATTCTGAATCTCAATATAAACCAGATGAATATGCATATCGAGTTGTTGCAGTGCTATAAGATTCACCAGCTGAGCATATTGGGATTGAACCATAATTAGACTTCATAAGATACAACCCATAGTAGCATGATGGAAAGTTATTCTCTGAATATTTGGCAGAGCATGAAGGAAAAGAACTGAATATCTTTGTTTACAATCTGATTTAGCAAGATAATAGACTAGAAAAAGTACGCTTACACAAAGATTGGGGCGAGCACAACAGTTTATTAGGTGCAACAATCAGATATGAAAGCTATGTTGAGGCTCATAACTATATACTTGCAGTTAATGACGTTTATTTAGGAAGTGCAGCACATGAAGCTGAGCTTTAACCATTTAAAGACTATATTCTAGGCACAAGAGAAATCGCATTTAAAAACTTAGATGAATTCGCTAAATATATAGAGGTTAATAAAGGTTAAGAAATCAGGTTGCACATATATAATGTTGATCAAGAGCAAGTCAGAGAAGTTCCACTTACCCCTAAATAATGGAAAGGCTATGGTTTATTAGGATGTGATGTGTCATTTGGGTTATTAAACAAAATTCCTCTTAGGAAGATTGACCTTTAAAGAATTTAGAGTAAATAAGGGCTTGCTGGTGTGTTTGGGAAACTAACAGGTGAAGATGTTCTCTAATAAGAATCTCCTTAATAAGTTTAATTGAATACTGGGAAAGATTAAGGTCCAAAGAGTGGAGATTTGAGTAAATAGTAGTAAAATTAAGAAAAGTAGGTATAAGCTAATGATACCTAATAATAGTAAATTTTAAATTAGGTTGAAAATATCTAAATAAACGAAAATAGTGAGAATGATGATAATAAAGATGAATTAGTAATGAAGCCATATGAATCATAGAATTTATCACCAAGATAAGAATTATAAAATGAGCTAACATAGAAAGATATTACTTATTAAACCAGAGTAGATAATGTCCAAGAGATAAACAGTAATATTTAGGTTCTAGAAAAGGAAGATGAAGCACGCGAGTCTAAGGGAGAAGAATCAAGCTAAAACTAAAATACGAAATAAAACTTACAAAAAACGGAGAAATAAATTATTGAGTCCTCCAATGACTAACAAATAGTCCAGCAGCAATAGAGGAAATTTAACCTTCTACCGACTTCTTTAGAGTTTGACTGAACTTAATTTAAATAATAAAATCTAAATTATTAAATAATTTGAAAGCTCTCTAATATATTAAAATACTATAGTTTATGTCTAATTCAACTATAATCACCTATTATTGATAGTTCGGCATGCGAACTAGGATTACTGGGTCAAATTTTGACTTAGCATCTATTATATAAGAATTTTTTCATCATCTTTGAAGTCTACTTTACGACGCAAACTGAATCCATCCTCCTCGTTAAGATACAAAAGTATTCCACAGTTGCTTTTATTCTGATTTATCAGTATCGTTTCGTTCTTACTCCCTTAAATATAATCCTCCTGGATTTCTAGATTTTCATCGTCTGTTCCAATTGAGTCATTTTTTGACCCATTTTATTTTTTAGTCTTGCGAGCTCGTTGAACTTTCTTCTCAAGTCTCCCCTCTTTCTTAAAGATTTATATGACATTCTTTGCGCTAGAAAAGTTTATGTCATATTTTTGGCAGACGTTTTTGAGCGGATTATTCATTACCATTACCTCGAATATAATGATTTTCCTTTTCTCGTCATCGATCTTAAGGTATTTAGAGCACCTCTTGGCTATAATACTGTAAAAACAAATTAATTTACTTTTTTTCTAGATCTTAGAATTATCTGGCAAATTGTCACTTTCACTGTCCAACTAATTTAGGTTCTAAGGTTAAGTTATTTTATTGCTGAAATCTAAGCTTACTAAGTCTTTCATTTAATTATTAAGTTAAATTGCTAGTTTAGTTTAAGCTCAATTTTAAATCACTACATAATTTGACTTTAACTAAACTAATCATTTTTTAATTAAACCTTCCATCTTTTAATATCTAGTCTAGGGGTTTTGGGGTTTTGGGGTTTTGGGG